CTATTTTGGTAGACAGAACTTGACATGCTTGAGATTGAGGAGACCTGGGTTCTAGTCTTACAGACCCCACACTGTCATCTGTTAACCTTAGGACCTTGGGGAAGTCTCCCTGGGCCTGAGTTTTGTTGTATAAAAGAATCATGAAAGTGGACTGGTTAAGCACTAAGGTCCCTTCCACCTCTAACTTGCATGAAAACATTCTCAGTAACATATGTGATTGATAGGCTTGTATGTATGATGTTTTGTTTTACCCATGAAGGTTATGTATGTCCACATGGATCTGTCTAGAGGTGCCTCAGAGAGGCAAGAAGAGGCATCTCTGGCAATTCCTCCTCCTCCGCCCTTGTCCGAGGGAGACTTTGATTTCTGCTAGGAAAGGAAACAAGAGGTTTGGGCCAGAGGCTGGCCACTCTGCTCTCCTCAGAGAAAGGGGGTATCAAACAAGAGGCGTATCTATCTACTCCTTTAAATATTAGTCTAGAGCATTACACTTTTAGATTTAAGATAAACTCCTGATCTCTATTTCTTAACAGGAAAGGGACACACCAACCTATATATCCAAGGCTTACCTCTCTTCCCAGCAGATAGATGCCTGTTCAACAATGAATGCACATAGCAAATAACATAAAAACCCACTTATCCAAGTCAATAGCAAAACCGAAATCAGAGATAATATACACACGAGAATTTAAGCCAGGCAAGCAGATTGAACGAGTTCCGTCTCTGAGGATGAGACAACTCAGAGAGTGATGGGGAGAAGGACATGAGAGAGACTGTCAGCTTTGTTCATGAGGACTTCTTCCTGGAGCCTCCTTCTCTTTTCAGTGACCTGAAGAAAGGCTGCAATATTCTTCCGCCTTTTTCTCGAAGCTGGAAGCCAGAAGAGCCTCAGGCTCTCCCTACTCTCTTACCAGCTCTGGCCACCTCTCCTGCAGGCAGGAAGCATTCTGAAATCAATCTCCCCCAAAGAGCAGCATGGTCCACATCATGGACTGCGTCAAAGGTTGCACATAGATTTAGAAGTGGGAGGGACCTTAGTGGACACGTGGACCAATCTCATTTGACATGTGAAGAGATTGTAATGGAAAGTCTGGGTGACTTACTCAAGGTCACATAGACAATAAGTACGAAATCAGGTCTCTTGGCTCTGGATCCAGTGTGCTTTCCGCTCAACCACACTGCCTCTCATTTAACAAACATTAATGATGGACTTATTACAGTACATGGAAGGTTCTAATGAGAAAGGCAGCTTGGCAGATTAGACAGAATGCTAGTCTTAACTCATGAATCACTGGGTTCAAAGGGTGCAAGTAAGTGGTCTGACTCTAGGTGAGTTACAACCTCATAACTCTTGAGGTTCCTTTCTAAGACCCTGAATTATAGCTAAGCAGCAGATCTGCATTGGAGGGGGGTTTGCTAACCAGGAGTAACCCCACAATGATGAAATCACACAAGTTCTTGGATTGCTATCTCTCTCCCAACCATATATACACACACGAGAAAATTGAGTCTCAGAGGTAAATGGATTTAGCTCAAGGTTACCAGAGTAATAAGAGATGGGATTTGAAGCAAGATGTTATAGATTTTATGAATCTATAGAGTCAAAAGTCAATGCAGTTGTAAGCTATTAATAGCTCATACCACATTATACGTGTAATAATACATGTTTATATTACATAATCCTGGAATATTACAAATACTATATCACAACTATATTACTGTATATACACAGATGTATACACACAAATATATACATATGTAAGGCACTGGTCAGGCACAAAGTAATAATCAATGACCAAAGTCCCAGCCTCAGGGATCTTAGATCCTACCAAGGGAGAACACTAAGCACATACAGAGGAAGTGCATGCCCAGAATAGGGGAAAGCCTGGCAAAGGTATGGAGGTGGAAGACGGTCTGCCACATTCAGAGACAAGCTAATCTTAAAGTCTGGCTGAACAGAGAGAATAAAAAACAATGTGAAATAAGGTTGAATAGAATATATTCTATCCTGTTCACAGCATAGGACAGAGAAGCAACATGCTACAGTGGAAAGAGTTAGAGGACACCTGGGGCCAAATTTTGCCTCTGACACTTATCTGTGTGACTTGGGTCTCAGTTTCCTCACATGGAAAGGTTGGACTAAGTGGCCTTGGAGGCCTGTTTGGCCCAGGATCTATGATCTTAGCGCTGGGCATGATTTTAGAACTCAGTCCAACTAACTGATTTTGCATATCAGGAAACGGAGTCTCAGAGAGAGGGCTTCACTTGCTGACCGGCTGGGACAGGGCCAGGACTAAGCCTCGGGTCCTCATGATTTTCTTTATATTCTAGTCTAGCTTCTCCCCCTTCCTGGGCTTTATGGGGGGGACTTTGCCAGTCCAACTTCATCCTCATTTTCCTTTTCATCTCTTTGTACAGTTATCCCTTCCACGTTGCGACTTTCCCTGTTGCAGTTTTGATATATTGCCGGTCGGCATAAGAAATTAAATGGGAATTTTTAGGGAATTCTGTAGAAGCCGCAGATGATATGTGAAGGCCATCAGATGGCACAGAAAAAGTTTAGAAACTGAGAAATGCATAAAATAGATGTATAGTATTATGTAATATCAACCCAAATTTACAATAAGGTATTGTAAACATCCTATAAGAAAAAGAAAAAGAAAAAAATCAGACTTTTTCTCTGGTATGAAGGAGGAATCCAAAATTTGTATGCAGATTTTCCAGATGGGGAAGGGGTGTGTGCCATGTTCTTAACTCCTAAGATGTGGAAAGGGGAAACTGGAGTTTGCCCACATGTAGAGTAATAAAGCTGAGAGCAGACAGCAGAAGCAGCACCCCTACTGTGGGCTGCTCCTCAGGAGGCAGAAAGCACCAAGATGAAGGGAAATGCATTTAGAGCTTAAAAAAAACCAGAGAGGTGTTTCAGGATGTGTGTGTGTATCTGTGTGTATGTGTGTTCATGTGTATGTCTCTGTGTATGGATGTGTACATGTGTGTGTGCATGTGTGTATATGTGTGAATGAGTGTGTGTGTGTGTGTGTGTGTGTGTGTGTGAGAGACAGAGAGAGAGAGAGAGAGAGATCTTACCACCTCTGAGCTCATTTGACCTCATTCGTGGGCTTTATATAAAGCGTGAGTGCCACAAACCAAACATGACCTGGCAGCCATCTGTTAAGCTCATTAGAGACCGAGGGTTTCCCTTGAGAAACTCATAGAAGAAGATAGTTTAGAAATCATTAATTTTACCCCCCCCCAATTGAACAGAGTTAGAGGCAGAGTTGGGGTGAGAGACCAGGCCCTGGGCCACACAACCTGGGTCAAGTGACTTCATCTCTCTGACTCCGCCCAGTGCCTGGTACATAGGAATGGCTTGAGGGACCTTCCTTCCTTCCTTCCTTCCCTCTTTTCTTTCCATTCTATCCATACCTCAGTTTCTCCATCTATAAAAGGAAGGGGTTAGACCAGCTGGTCTCTGAGAGCTATATGATTCTCTGACTTGATCCAGACCCTGGTTCTATCTCAATGACCTGAGGTAAGTCACTAAACCTCTCTGACCTACAAAATGGACAGGATCCAGTATATGAAATCTCAGACCCATCCAGCGTGAAATCCAGGATTCTTCTCCAGGACTCTGTAGAATGATCTTCCTGCTGCTTGGTTCAGTTCTCAGGCTGTCTAAGAATATACACCTAGAACCAGCTTCTGAACCTGAGGTAAATGAACTTTATGTACATAAGCACACATGCATGTACATATATGTCAGTATACATAGCTACACATATGTACATATACATACGTAGCTACATATAACACTATTTCAATATACTTGTTTTCCACTGTAATCTTATATATTGTTATTTTATGCATTTTAAAGTATGTCTGAGAAGTGCTCCAAAGATTTCGACAGACTGATCTGATTACCCAGGGGCTCCTGGACACAAAAAGAGTTTCAGAACTTTACCTCTAGGCCCTTAGGGGTCACCTACTTCCACTCCTCCTCCACCACTCCCCCATTCTACAGATGAGGAAACTGAGTTCCATAGATGTTTTGTGCCTTGCCCGAAGTCACACATGCAAGCGAGCCTCACAGGCGAGGTTTGAAGACTTGTCCTCTGACCGCCTTCCCCAGCCAGTGCTCCTGCTTAGCGGAAGTGGGGGCTTCCAGGTTGGAGTCCAATAGAGGTGTCCTGCCAAGCACCGCTCTGTCATCGTCCTGATGTCCTGCTGCCTTTAGGGTTATAGGAATCCCATTTGCTCCTTCTCCGTGGGCCCGAGGCTGCTTCCCTTGAGGAGGGTGGAGGCAACATGGCAGCCCTGAGTACCGAGGTGTGAGGTTGTCCCACTCGGCAGTAGGAAGGGGAGGAATGTCTGGAAGGGGAGAAGGGACTAGTCCCTCAGGAAGGGGAGGAATGACCGCTTAGTAAAGAGAGATGTCCGCCCCGCCCCCAGCCCCACCTCCCTGTCCCCCGCCCCCACCCCCACCTCCCTGTCCCCCGCCCCCACCCCCACCTCCCTGTCCCCCG